CTGCGTCGACTGGCGCTCCAGCGGCGCCGTCACCGGCGTCAAGTTTCAAGGCTCTTGCTGTAAGTAAAGTCACGCTAGCTAGATATAGAACCGCTCCTACACCTCTGCTACGTTTACTTATGTTGTGCATGGACATGTCTATGGCAGTGTCGTGCTGGGCGTTCGCGGCGGTGGCGGCCATCGAAGGCATGAACAAGATCAGGACCGGCGAGCTGGTGTCGCTGTCGGAGCAGCAGCTCGTGGACTGCGACACCGGGAGCAGCGGCTGCAGCGGCGGGCGCTCCGACACGGCGCTCGGCCTCGCGGCAGCCCGCGGCGGCCTCACATCGGAGGCCAAGTACCCGTACAGCGGCATGCAGGGCAGCTGTGACGTGGACAAGCAGCTGTTCGACAACGAGGTGTCCGTCAAGGGCTTCAAGGCCGTGCCGCCCAACGACGAGCATCAGCTGGCGCTTGCCGTGGCGATGCAGCCCGTGACGGTGTACATCGACGCCAGCGCGTGGGAGTTTCAGTTCTACACCGGCGGCATCTACCGCGGCCCTTGCTCCTCCGACGCGGCGAGGGTGAACCACGCCGTCACCATCGTCGGCTACTGCGAAGGCCCCGGCGAGAACAACAAGTACTGGATCGCCAAGAACTCGTGGAGCAACGACTGGGGTGACCAGGGCTACATTTACCTCGCCAAGGACGTGTCATGGCGGACGGGCACCTGCGGCCTCGCCACCTCGCCCTTCTACCCGACAGTTTGACCGATTCCGGCTTGCCGGCGGGGCTTTTGCATTCGCCAACTGCTTATGTTGTTTTATTTTATTTGAGAGAGGCCAATTGCTTATGTTAAGTACTAGTCCGTCGATCACACATACGCCACCAAATGATTGATGGCTGTGTGGTAGGAGTATTTTTTTTAAGCTGTGATAATGCGCAATAAGATATTAATAAAGTACAGAATCATTTGGCTCAAGCTGTTTTTGGCATTGTGGATTGTGTTAATCCCATCTGTTCTCTCCGGTTTTTGTTTATGGTTATGCTATGTCTCAGTTGACTCGGTCGACGAGATTAGCCGTTCAAAAAAATTGAGCAAAAATTAGCCGTTCAATTTCATTGACGAGATTAGTATGTCTCCCGCTACGTGGGTTGTGGGCTGTGCCTTGCGGCCATTTCTTTTGTTCATTTTTGGGTTTTTTCTCAGTCCTCCCACATAAAACTTTTTCTTTTTTTTTTGGGCTTGTGTGCACCGTATAAGTACAGAAGAATAAAGTTAATGGGGCAGCTCACTCTATGTGTATGTATACAGTATACACGTGTACTTGTCCAGCCTTTTAACTTTCTTTTTAGTATATTTTCCTTTTATTTCATTACTTGTATTTCTACTTTTTATTTTTCTTGTTTAAGAAATATGGAACATTTAAAAATTTGAAGAACATACGTTTTGACACGCATGCCGATTTTTATTCTCACATGTTGTTGTCTTGTTTTTTTTACTCTGAGATGTGGTTGCATTTTCTACATGGACATTTTTTATTCCTTATTTGTGTCTTGTCTATTTATTTATTTACTTTGTTTCTTCATGTATTACCCAAAAATATTTTTTTTCATTGTGTTCATATGCTCGGTTTTTTTTCCTTTTTCACGGCCATACACTGTAAAGTTCGCACAAGGTTCCTGAATGGAGTGCAATGTATGGGAGAGGGTGGACAAGCTTTATTGCAGACACCAATCTGTGAAAGGGTCAGGT